AAGTGAATTGAAACCAATTTCTCTCTATTTCGGACCAAAACAAACAAACAACCTTTTTGTCGACAATTTCTTATATGCCTTTTAAAGCGAAGTATGTTCCTACACAAAAATAGTATTTCTTGTAATGAAAATATTATTTGAATAAAATAAAAAAAATTGACCTGCTAACTTAGTTATTTAACGTATAAAATAATGGGAATTTTTTTTTCAAAATTTCCGTTCAATAATAATTATTTCCAAAATTCAAAAAGTCTTTTTTGAAGTATGCTTCAAGATTAACAAAACTAAAATAAAATGATAAGATTAAAGAAGTGAAGTTATTTTTCATTTTTAGAACAAACACAAAATCATTATCATTGTAGTATTATGTGTTTTTAGCAGAAATTATGCGAACTACAAAAAAAAAAATGTCTGTCGGAGAAAGGAAAATAATATGATTCAGAGTACTAGAAATTTTTTTAAAAATCTGATTCAGAGTACTAGAAAATGAAAGAATAGCACTCAACTCCTCCCATGCCCATAATGCATATTTGAACAATTGTGCCAATCAAAATGCCCAATATCTCTTTTGCAGGTACCAATTCCAGTCTTTTAATCTTTAGAATTATTTCACTAACTGAATATTGTTCAGACCTTATTGTTGGGTGTTTTTTTTTTTGGCCCACAGAAATTATTGTCAGGCGACTTGCACCATTTTTTAACCCATTTAGAAAAATATTGTGTCCGTGGAAAGTAAATGATGTGCTTCTCACTTTTTCTTGTCATATCATCAAAAGGAGCGTCCTTAATTTTCTATTTATTTTTCTTTTCCATTCAATCAAGGGAAAACGACAATTAGGACTCTAGAAAATTGAAAATTGCGATGCAGGTTCTTGAGCTCAAAAACCTGCTATTATTGATTGAATCTTGAATATGAATTGACAAATGTTGTGTAAAAGACCAAATTGCTCTCATATTAGAAATAACATATACAATATTATAAATTACTCCCTCCATTTTTATTTATAAGAAGATATTTTTTTGAAAGGGCAAGTTTCTTTCTGTAAGGGACAATTTGGAGATATTAAAACATTTAATGCTTTTTTTTTTTCATATTTACCCTCAATTACTTACAAGTTTCTCTCATCTTTTTTTCCTTACTCATTCTCTCTCATCTCTTTTTTTTTTTATACAAGAAGGAGAAACCTCTTAAAACGCACTACCCATAATCTGTTAGCCTGGGAGAATCTTGCATAAGTATAGCCTTCAGGTCCTCGGTTGGAGTAGTAGTCAAGAAAAAGCCTATAGAGCTGCTCAAAACTAGTTTTGCTAAAAAATCCGCTGTCTTATTTGCATTGCGAGTCATGTGTTGAACTTGGACGACCCAATCTCTTGTGATCAGATTCTTAATTTCAAATATCAGCGTCGTGTCTTCATGGGTTTGGGTATTGTGATTCCGGAGCAAATCCACAACCTCACGTGCATCAGTTTCGAGGATCACCTGTCGGTACCCCAAATCCTAAGTAGCTTTTAACTCAAGGAGAGCAGCCCATAACTCTGCATTTAAGTTGTCTCCCTGCTCACCATGGTGCATGAAACCCATTATGAAATCTCCTGCTTCATTTCGTATTACTCCACCTCACCCAATGCCACTTCTCCTAGAATAGACTCCATTGGTATTGAGCTTCACCCAGTCAGCGCTCAGGCACTCCCATCTATCATGTTTGTCGGTCACTAGCTGCCCATTGAGATTGCTTCCCTTCAGGCGAGAATGGCCCTACATGAGTGTTGACAACATGGCGTTGGCTCGTGCGAGTAAGGTGTTGTTTGTCATTAGTTTATTCTCAAAAACTCTATCATTGCGTCTCTTCCACAGAAGCCAACAGATTGTAGAGAAGAGACTACTCTAGTCCTTGTGATTACACCCATTTTGGTTCCTGACATTCCACTGTATCCATTCATCTAGGTTTGTCCGGAAGAAACCGCAGCGCCACGAAGGTTCGACTAAGCCCCTCCAAAGCTTCACGGTCTCTTCATAATCTCAGAGCACATGGATGGTAGTCTTGGCACTCTATTTGCACCAAGTGCAGAGTTCGTCCGTCGTCATGTGTCATCTAGCCCTTCTCTTCATTAGTTAGAAGCTGGTTATGGTATGCCAACAACATAAACATTTTGTACCGTTGCGTGGTGTCTAGTTTCCAGATCCTCTAATTTCCCGGGTTGCATTACTAATAGCATTTGTATGCACTCTTGATCGAGAACATCCCACTCTTCTCATATTTCCATTTAACCGAAAGGTTAGCGAGATCCAGCGTACAACCATCCTCGTCATGTTTCCAGGTGTTCTTAGTCCCCTGCCAGATGTTTGAGCCTTGTCGAGTTGAATCAATGATTGGGATCACGTCATTGCCGTGCTTATACTTGCTTCGGATCACCTTCACCCATAGGTCATCTTTCTTGAGCATCATGATCCAACCGAGCTTAGCCATAAAAGCTTGGTTTTGGCTTCGCATGTGTCTTATGACGAGACCCCTCATCTTCTTCGATTGACAAATAGTCTCCCATTTTACTAGATGGGCTTTTTGCTTCTCGGCAGTGGATCCCCATACAAGTGCATGATTACATTTCTCTATTGTCTCACAGGTGCCCATCAATAATGAAGCTATCTGTATTGTGTACCCAGGAATGGTTGTCATCACTGTCGTAACTACAATCGCACGTCCCACCAGCGATAGGTAGTTAGCTTGCCAACTAGTCAACCTTCGCTTTACCTTATCCACCACATCTTCAAAACTGTCTTTAGTAACTCTAGAGTGCAGAAACGGGATACCCAAATATTTATCGAGGTTCATTGTGGCTTGGAACCCCAATACCGTACTCAGCTCAGACTTACACACGTGATGTATGTTTTCAGAGAAGTACACTCAAGTCTTACGGGCGTTCACCTTCATGCCAGAGCTCTCACAAAACACGTCTAGGCACTACTTGATTTCCTCAGCTTGTCTTATAGAGGCTTCTCCAAAGAGGATTATATTATTGGCAAAAACGAGATGGGAGATAGGAGGACCTGACTTGCAGAGTTTGATCAGTAGCCATGACTTAGAGGCAACTTGCTCCTGAATTAGATGGGCCAATCTCTCCATGCATATTACAAACAAATAAGGGAAGAGGGGGTCCCCTTGTTGAACCTCTCTGGTTGGGAGTATCTCACTGGCAACCTCACCGTTCTAAAGAAGTTTCATTGACGCAGTCGCCACACACTAGTAAATAATTTGTGCTAGCGTCTCAGGTATTTGCACGTCTTTAACGCACTGTTTAAGAAAATTCCAGTTGCTTCTATCATAAGCTTTTTCCAAATCAATTTTGATGGTCATATACCCTCTTTTCCCTTGCATGGTTCGCATGGAATGAATCACTTCTTATGCAACCATGGTGTTGTTTGAAATGTGGCGTCCATATACAAAATTGCACTGTTGCGGACTTATTATACTCAATAGAATTGCTTTAAGCTTGTTTGCAATGATATTAGTGTTTGTTTTAAAGATAACATTGCAGAGGTTGATCGGTCTCAGGTCCTCTAAGCTCCTCCGAGTGTTCTATCTTTGGTATAAGTGATATGAACGTTGTGTTAATCATCCGGATTTCAGTCGAGTTTTGCCACAAATATTGTATAAGATCACAAACTGATTTTCCTACTACCTTCCATTGATTTTGGTAGAACAAAACATTTAGGCCATCCGGCCCTAGTGCCTTAAGTGCTCCCATACAAAAAAGTGCTTCTGTAGTTTTCGCATCCGACACAGCTCTCTGTAGGTGAAGGAGGTTGCCGGTTTCTAATAGGGGGTAGCTGAAAGAACATTGTAATGGGATGTGGTGCGTAGCTTCCTCCTTGAATAGAGTTGCAAAGAATTCATTAGCAATGGCTTTTATTTTTTCTGTATTGTAGACCCACTTGCCTGATGTGTCCTTGATGGCCCTACGAAGTTTCTCTTCTTGCTTGCATTTGCTTTGATATGGAAATAACAGGTGTTTTTATCTCCATTGATATACCAATCACATCATGCTTTTTGGGCCCAAAGGAGGGACTCTTGGAGTAAAACATCTTCTAGCTCTCTCCAGAGTTGGTATTGAAGTTCCTCTAGCGTCTTCGTAAGCCTGTATTGTGACTCTGCCTGTGTGATTCCGTTGAGCCGCTGAATGAGCTTCTTCTTCCTGCCATTGATACTGCCAAAAACTTGTGCATTCCACTTGATACAAGCATCAGTGAAGCATTGGACTGTGTCATTCCACGGTGAAGATGAGCACCATTCCTTCTGTATAAGAGCATTAAAATCCTCATGTAGTATCCAAGGAGCCAGGAAGCAGAATGGCCGTTGCACAAGTTTAGTCTCATGAGGGCCATTTAACTATAGCAAGAGCGGCCTGCGATCTGACTTGTACTAGGGTAGGTGTGTGACGACTGCATTGGGGAAGGAAGTCAGCCAATCACACCAGCATAACACACGATCAATGCGACTTTCCACTCCGGTTTTCCTCCACATGAACTTTGACCCTACGAATCCCATATCATTCAATTCTTCTTCAAAAACAAAATTATAAAAATCTTTATCTGGGTCTTTGTTAGAGCTTGCCGAGACATGTTCTAAAGAGAGAAGGGTGGCGTTGAAGTCTCCCCCCACGCACCAAGACTCCACTACGTTCCCCTTGATCCTATGTAGCTTGTACCAGAGGACCTTCCTTTTGCTTGGCACTAGGGTTGTACATACACAAGTCATTTCCCACTTCTGCCGTTCATGGTTCCCTAGCCTCAGGTGTATGAACTGTTGATTAGTTTCCACTATCTCTATAGTTTTAAATTTTTCAGACCAACAGCACCATATTCCTCCTTGAAAACCATCAGCATCTACTATTTCAAAATATCGAAATCCTAACTGGCTGGCAATCTGATGAGCTTTCCTTCTTCCACAATGAGTTTCGAACAACACCATAAAGTCCAGGCATGGTTGGAAACCAAGTCCCGTATGAGAGAGGGAAAGGTACATAAGCCAGACCCTTATATATTCTAGAATAAGCAATTCATGAGATAACCATTTCCTTTCTCTCTCATCTCTTTTTCTGCTTATTCTCTCTTCCACCCACGTTTTTCATAAACAAGGGTTTTTTAGAAAATAAATTGCACTTTTGTAGAGGTATCACTTCCAACTAATTTTAACCAACTTTTTTATCAACATAATTTAGTTAATAATCTCTTATAAAAAGAAAGGAGGGAGTATAAGTTAAGTATTCAAAGTAACAAGTTTATACTCCCAAATAACAAGTATAGTATTAAAAATTATAAATTAAGTATTTAAAATAACAAAGTCTACAGTTAGAAATAATAAGTTCAAATAGTAGGGTCATTTGATCTTTGACACAACATTTGCTAATTCATATCTTATTTGGTTTCTGAAACCAATTTTTAGAATCTAAGAACCCAAATTGCAAATTTAAATTTTTGAAGGCTTTTTTTTTTTTTGTGATTTCCCTTCCATCAAAGTCATTTCGGTGAAATTCGACATGACATCTTTATAATATTTCCATGCTTTCCATATAGGTCCCCTTTGCGTTATATTTATTTATTTTTAATTAGAGGGGCTACAATTAACGGATATTAATTTTGGAATTTATGTGTTCCTTGCCTTGTTAAGAACACAACCTGCTGGTTTGATTCTTTAGGTCGTGGTCCAAGCATTGACATGAAAGGTGTCTTTAATACATAAGTAGTTTAAAGTTAAATAAATTGATTTTCACTGCAAATTGCTTTAAGAACTATAGAGACTTATTATATAACTGATGGGAAGCATGAAGGCAAAAATGGTCGACAACTTGGATATATCCCAATGTAAGTAGTTTGAACTCAAGTCTTTTCACTGATTACAACCACTGCATATATTGTACCATTTCTTTTTTGATTTGCAGTGTCCTAAGCAACAATGGTTAACAAAGTGCGGATACTATATTATCCATTTTATGTTTGAAATTATTGAGAGTGGTTACACTAAAAAATTTGAAGAGGAAAGTGAAAATAATTTTAGCTTTGTCATAGTTGTTGAATTTTTAAATTGAATTGTCGCTTATTTATATTTCTTCATACATTTGAATTTATTCATTTCTCATTTTGCAGATTTTTGATAATGACTCCTCATACACCAACAATGATATTGATCATTTCATTTGAGACATTTTGGCACAACTTCTTCATGAATGGTGTTCTAGGGAGTGATATAGAACTTTATGTTTATAGATAACTTAGTATGTTTAGGTTATCAATTTTAACTTTTGCCCTTTGTGGCTTTTGACTAGTTCATGTATTGATAACTTAGTATGATGGCTAGACATATAACTTGCCAGATAAATTGCTGGAAAGTGGTTGTTGTATTATATGTTAAAAATGTAGGTTGGCAAGAAAGCTATTGAAGAAATGAATTTTTTTAAAAAAAATGCTCATTTATGTCTGTTGCTAGAAAAAGGAAGTGAAAACTATCAACCTTTACTTCTATTTACCTCTTTTCTTGAAAAACAAAAGCAAAAAGTCCCTATATTTTACTTTTGTTTTGTTGAAACAAATGAGAATAATGGCACCATTCTTATCTGTTTCTCTAAAACAAAAATAAAGATGGGGACTTTTTACTTTTGTTTGTAACAGATCAAAATAAGAGTACTGTTCTCCTCTATTCAAACAAAAGTACAAAAAGGCTACTTTTTACTTCTCTTCTTTTTATGTCCCCCATAGAACAGAAGTAAAAGGTTATCTAAAACAGAAGTAAAAGATCTGTGCTGTAGTAGTGTTTGTTGACTCTGTACAATCACTTTATTAAGATTCAATCAAAAGAACCAGATCATTTTATCATTTTCTCTTAATATTTAGCATGGTATCAGAGTTAGGTTAGAAGATCAGTCGCAAGTGTTTTAGTCTCAGGCACCATACACAGCTCAAAGCAACAGAGGTCATAGCATCTGTCATTTCCAAATTTCTCATCAATTGGTCGAGGTTACAGATGGGGACACTTCCAACCAATTTGAGTAAGGTGCCAAATTTGTCATTGCACTAGTCATACAACAGACAAGTGCTATTATAGGTAAGATTTTTCTCATAATCATTCATAAGACTACTTTACCAACACTTATTATTCTAATTATGGATATCCTGATGAGTCTCAATACTATAGTGTGCCTGGTGCTAATCATTCTTTTAGTTCTAAACAGTATAACTTTGTTGTTATGAATTCTACCACTCTTGGTCTAAATATCACTAAGGTCAGTACAAGTGCTGGTCAGTCATCCACATCAGTACCTTTATCTATACAAGCTTTCATTGCTACATAGACTGTAGTCTCAGATGATATATGCTTGATATACTAATTCAAGAGCAACAAAACATGTATCCAAGAATGCCTCAAGTCTGCAACAATCTGTCCTTAGACACAATGGTAAGGTTATGGTAAGAGATGGATATGGACTTAATGTAACTCATGTTAGAAACATGCAACTTAAATCCCCTGTCTCTCAGTTACATATGAATAATGTACTTTGTGTGCCTCCTATGCTTAAAAATCTTATGGATGTTGCATAAACTACTCAAGAGAATGGAGTATCAATTGAGTTCTTTCCTCATGGTTATTTTGTTTAAGGATTTGAGGACAAGAGAGATTCTGATAGGTGGCATTGAGACAAATAGGATGTACAAAATGAGAGTAGCACCGTCAACTTGTTCCACTCCTATAACTTCTCAATGTAACCTTGTAAATACTTTAGATTCCCTTTATATGTGGCATAATAGGTTTGGATATCCAGCCTTTGATACAGTCAGGATTGTTTTATAGAAAGTATTTATTCCCTTTTCAAATTCCAATGCTATTTCCTTGAGTTCAGCATGTCAATTTGGGAAAACTCAAGCTTGCTTTTTTTTTTTTTAATTGAAATATAGTGTATAAGAAACCTCTAGAATTAATAAAATTGGATTTGCGAGGTCTTGCCCTGGTTGCTTCTTATGGATTTGTTTACTATCTAGCTATAGTATATGCTTTTAGTAGATTCACTTGGATTTTTCCAACTACATAAGAAATCTGATGCTTTGCCAAAGTTTAAGGGACTGAAAACACAAGTTGAAAATAGACTTAATACTAAGATTTAGATTATTTAGTTTGATAATGGGGGAGAATTTCTAAGTTTCAAACAATTTGTTAATACTTGTAGAATTGAACATAAGTTCACATGACCCTATATATCTAAGTAGAATGGATTATTTGAAAGGCATCATCACTTAATTATGGAGACTGGTATGTCATTATTGGCTCATGTTGGCTTGCCTACCTTTTACTAGTCTAATACTTTTTATACAGTTGTGTTTCTTTTAAACCGATTGCCTTTTTCTACCATAAATAATGGTACATATAACATCCCAAATTTTGGGTATAGAAATATCAAAATTAGCTTAAAATGAGTAGGCTATTAGACTTTTTTTGGCAAGAGTTCTAAAAGTTTCCTAAAAGAACAAGAGAATTCTCATAGACTAAATTGCAAAATAAGAGTTTTCTGGACCACGAGATAAGCAAGTTAGAGACTCTAATGAAGTCTCAAGGGCTCAGGTATGGGAATCAGAGACGATTAAGGGCCAAAGGGTGCTCTAGAAACCTTAGTGAGATGATTTCTAAGGCTAAACCCAAGTAGGAACCTAATCGTAAATTCAGAAAGTTTCAGGCTAGAAAGGGTTATTATGGAAAGTACGCCTGAAAATTCTAGAAAAATTCTAAAAAAATTTTCAAAAAAAATAAAAATGAGGTTCTAAGGCTCTATGAGGCTAAAAATCATGAAAATACCCTTGAAGCAAATTGATAAAATTCTCAAGGTTTTGGCTTATTATGAATATTAGTCGAAATAGAATTATTTAAAATATAAGAAGCCTTAGATAATTAGAGATAAATAGGAAATAAATACTTGAGAAATTATCATAAGTTTTAAAAATGATTTTGTCCCCAAAAAATAAAGAGTTTGGCTTTAACAAAACTTAAAGCCTACTTACACCCTATCCAAAGAAAGTCAAAATAAAACGTTTGTGGGTTAACTTTTGACCTAAAAAAGATTAGAGAAATCTCTCATGATAAAATGGTTGTATTGGTACCAAAAGATAAATTATTGAAGTTATGAACCGCTAGAAAGAATTCTGTCAAGTTTATTTCAAAATAAATATTATTAAATATTTTAATGAAAGAATAAAGAGGAGAGCATCCCTCCCTCTGCATGCACATTGTATAATACTATGTGAAGTTATTTGATAAAAAAGGATGTTAGAGCATATCTCAAGGTCATCAGATAAGTCAGGACCTGAAAAAGTACCCGATATGGTATAAAATTGTAAAATAAGTAGAGGGATAGTCAAGGGTGAGAGGGAGCATGAATTTCTTCCTACTTTTCTCCCTATTTTAACACAAAAATGATGAGAAAGACATGGATAGAATAATACAATTTGGTTATGGTTTTTGTTGATTTTTCAAAATTGTGTTTAAACCACGAAAAGGATTGATTGATATAATGATTAAGAGGAAGAAAAGAATAAGAATCAAGGGGTTTTTTTTATGAACTTGGAAAGAATCTGACTTCCCCTAATTTTATGAGAATTTTGGCTAGACTTAGGGATGATGTTAGGGTTGAAATTTGATGATTTTAATGCTTTCAATGTGTTTAGAATTAAAAATTGTGTGGGGTAAAGGTGAGAAAGTAAGTTTGGAAGCATTGGAATTTTTTTTGGCCTGAATGAAAGCATTAGAATTGAAAATAAAATTTTGAATCCTAAACCCTATGCATTTGGCCAAGTTGAGTTGAAGGGGAAGAAGTTGGATTTTATTTAATTTGAGATTGAAAATAGATTCTACATGTAAAATTATGAAGGAATGGCATGTGAAATTAATTATCAAAAGATTGAAATTAAAGCTCAAGAGCTAGAGGTTAAGGTAAGCAAAACAAGAATGCTATTGATTCCATGGCTCCAATAAATGAATGGCAATGACATCAAGAAAGATGAATGGAAAAGGTTGATTAAGTAACCTTGATGGCTAGGGCAAACAAAGCAAGAGGGAAGATTGAATGTAAAAAGCTAAAGGTAGCAAACTTTACTCTACTCTTATATGCTTGGTATTTGCTTGCATGTACGGCTTATTTGTATGTTTATCTAATTTTATGAACTCATACATTGTGAATGTAAATATGTTTAAAGTATACCATATGCCTATATGTTTTATGATAAATGCATGATAATTTCCAAACGTATCATTATGTTATAAAGATGTTAACTTGCTAGCATATTATGAATGCCAAGCTTGCTATATATGTTTAGGTAGTTATTGTTTGCTACTTATATTCTCCTGAATCTCACCCTCCCTTAACTAACCATAATAGGTATGATATGCAAAGAAAGAAGAATGCGAGATGTGGAACTACAAGAATGAAAGGAAGGGTTGAAGAAATAATGTAATATGTTGTGTTATGTAATGAACTCCCTTTTATATTAATGTATGATTAAACATGCCGTAAATGTTATGAAATGATGATTAATGATATTGGTATGTAAAATTGAATAAGTTAATGTATGGGAACAGTCAATAGATTGATGAAATGATTACATGTAAAGAAATAAATATTTATGGATTTTTAATGCAAGTAATTAAAGGGGACAAGTAATCTTTAAATGGGCCATAAGTTTGTGATAGAGTGGAAGTGAGGCAAACAATTGAATATGTTTGTGAAATTCTGTATGCTTAAAGTACACATCATGAGAATTAAAATAAGTGGTAGATTATTTAAAATAGATGAGTGTGCTAAGAGATATGACTGCTCAGAATTGGGATAGAAAAACTGGAAAGTACAATTTTTACCAGTTTGAACAGTAAGCTTTCATGAATTAACTATATAAATTGAGAAGGTCTAAGTCTAGATTTGTATTTTTTTTCCTTGTAGAGAATTAAAAGAGCTTTAAATGGAGATTTAAATCATCTCAATACAACTTTTCTGTAATTGAATTTT